CTCAAAGTTCCTCAACGTCTCAAGTAAATTTAGTGGAGCAAGTGTTAGAACAAGGCCAAAGGTTAAGAAACGCTATGGTGAATTCTATATTAAATGTTGATCCTTTCTACCAAGACCATGATCTGATGCCTCCTGTAAAGATGCATTGCATAAATATGGATCAAGAGAAAAGGGAATTATCGACAACAGAGAAACACAAGTTTGTAGCATACCTCAGAGGTGAAAGCATGAGTAGAGATGATGAGAAACAAGCACTGGAAACTTTTCGTGCAATGTCCACATCTGACATCTGTGAAATAACAGAACGCTCATATCACAGTTTAAGGAATTATTGTAATTGTGATTCCTGCACTGAATATAATAAATTAAATGTAGATGTTATACCTCCACTAAAAATTAATATTAAACCTAAACCAAGTGCAAAGTTAAAAGTTAATGAAGGTATATTGAAATATCTTAAATATGTTGATACATTGAAAATATCTGTACACAGTTTAAAGTTAAATCATGAAGGTGATGTTAAGGTTTTCAGTAGCCTAATTGATAGTAGGTATTCTCAACATTTAAGTACAACATATTTTATTGAGTACAATATTCCTAGCTGCATGGTGAAAAGTGAAATTAAGAAGTCTAAAGTTGACAGTGGCTTAGACAGCAGCAATTATGTTAAACTGTGTTCCAAAAAGTTACACAAAGAAGGTATTGACTGTGTTAATGAAATATTCAAAAGAGTATTTATAGCATTATTTTGTAGCAATATATTTCAAGCAGATATCAATACATGATGTAACCAATATTGATTCAATGAATTTGGAAGCTGTTGATTTGGTTTTTCAAGTGTCAAGTAGAACTTTGAAGCAGAAGGGCCAAAATATTTTGGGCCAAGCCAGATTTAACATGGGCTCATTTTTAAGTACAAAATATTTTAACTGTAATCAAGAGTTGGTTGTTTGGTTAATAAATGATGCACCTATTATGTTAGGCACAATTAAAATCAATTTACAACTAGGCTGTGGTAGACTTTATTTTGGAAAAGAATTTTTAGGTAATTTTACATTTCAATTGATGTATACATCTAAATATATAAATCTGTGATTTCAGATTCAATAAGCATTGATAAGCAGAATAGTATATTACCTGAAACAATTGCGTGTGATAAAAGAACTGAAATCAAGGCGAATGAATGCAAAAAATCGAAAGTGCAAAATGTTGTTGTTGATGATGATAATATTAAGAAAAATGTTGTTAAAGCACCTGTAAAGAAGAAACAGGTTGATGCAAAAGTTGTTAAAATAGTTGAAGATTCTATAAAACCTGCAAGTGTAATTATTATTATTTTTTTAATTATGTTATACTTAATTAACAAATGCTAATTTACTTTTATTTCAGAATATCGTACTATTTGGATTCTTATATGTCGCACAGGTGGAATATTTGGATATAAAACAACTAACTTATTTTACTTGTAAATCTTTCTGCCAAGATGATGTAATTTATAGTAATATAGTTCGTGGAGGTTCGAAGCCATTTTTTAATTTTTATCAGGTACACATTTTTGTTGTTGCATTTGTATAAAATAATAATATTACCTATATTTTGTAGACCATTCCATTCATATACGAGGAAGAATTTATTACAAAGTTGCGCGACAATTTTATGGTTTTAGAGTTTTTTGAGCGCACCCAAAATAAGGACGCATTGATAGGTGTTTGCAAAATTCCTCTACATCAATATTATCTTGCGTTCAGAAATCCAACGATTGTTAAGTACTTGGAAAGAAATAAGGTTAGTTGTTTTTGTATATAACAATTTATATATATTATATTTACCTTGTGATTAGTTACCTGTGATTGGCACAGATTGGTTTGAGCCGATATCTGACCCAAATATTGGAACAATCTCTGGCCAAGTTCAGATTTTAGTGGCATTGGGATCAGAAGCTCAAATTCACAATTTAGAGAACGAGCGTGGATTCAAGGATAATATTGTTCTTAAAGCAAAAAAGAATCTTGACGCTTTTCAACCAACGAAACGTAATTTGAAAGAAATCCCAGTGAAGCAAATATGTGATAAAACTAAGGAATTTTGCAATATCCAGTCTGAAAATAGTTATTTAAAATCTATTGACGATATACAAAATATACATTCGACAAGAAGCGAAGAGTTTTCCAGTTACAGAGATCATTATTGGAGAACTAAAGAGAGAAGAAGGGACTATGAAAACATTGATATTGCTGAAAGTGAGAAACGGCTACAAGAATTGAGAGTTGCATTTAAGAATCTTGAAGAAGCTCAAAGTAATGAAGAAAGAAATTTAACTTTGTTCAAGGAGACTCATAATTGTTGTGAATTTATTCCAAATAGAGAATACACACAAAATAAAAGTGATTCCACACTGGATCTTAAGAACAAAACCTTAGAACCAAGGAATAGCACTGAATTGAAGGATAATATATTAACTAAAGAGAATACTGTACAAGAAACTAAATCGATTTTAATCGATCATTCTGAAGAACCTACTGTTCAAAAAGTAGATAAAAGTACTTATACTGTTGAATTAATTGACAAAGCAAGTCAATCAGACATGAGTTTACAAAGTGATATTCTGTTAGATCTCTTACAACATTTTCAAACTAAGAAACCAGAGGACGTGAGAGATTCAGGTACAAACACTGAAGAATCCATGATGCAATCTACGTCTGAAAATTTAAAAAGCACTACAGATTTACTGGATTCTTTGCAGAAGGTGTTGTTAGTTCAGAAACCTCAGAAAAGTACATTCAAAGTATTAATACTCATTGATTCTGCACTTCATTTACCAACCAAGAAGAAGTGTAAACCAAAAAAACCTAAAAGTAGACATAGTCGCGATGACTCCTCGCCTACTACTTACGTTACATTTGAATCAGCTGAAGGTACAAGAATAACAAATGTATTTCAAAAATCTGTTAATCCTCGTTGGAATTACAGAGATGAGGTGGAATTGCCGTTGGAATTTCTCACAAACGTAAGTTAACACTAAAATATATAATTATTTTTAATAATATTTCTTTTCTAGAATCAAAAACGACTTATTTTTAAAGTTTGGAGAAAGTCAAATAATAATTTGAAACAACCTGATATGGAAGTAGATTCTGTCTTGGGCTTCGCTGCTTTAGACTTAACTGTGATTTCTGCTGGTTTGCTTACAGTAGAAGGCTGGTTTAATATTGTTGATTTTTCAGGTCATGTCAATGGCCAAATGAAGGTAAGTTCGTTTTTAAGAAAATTGTTTATTATTTATTGATTCATTTATCAGATCCATGTAAGTCCATTAGAAGCAATAAATAAACCAGAAACCATCCCTCCAGAGTCATCATCATCAACGAGTGGTAAAATGTCGCCTAGTACTTCAGTCGAGGAAACATTAGAAGACCCTGCCGAAGTATTTAGTCGAGCATTGAAAAGGAAATTCATTGAACTTGATGAGATTACACAAAGACTCAGAGTTCGTTTAAGCCATGCGACTAATGATGGATCAGATACATCAAATGACGATATTGCGGACGAATTTGAAAGAGATATTAATACTCTTTGCGTGGAAGATGATTACGATATGATAGATTTTGAAAGGGAAGCACAAGATTTGAATATGAGACGAGTTTCGTCTAGTTTACAGAAGTTGAAAGGCGATGAACAAGCCGATCATGCGTTGATGTTGTTTGAAGGAAGCAGTGAGGATCCATCTCCAAATACGTCTTTACAAATGGATATGTCTGCAGCATCTAAAGCTTCATCTATAGGCAGCGTCGAGACGCATGCGCAAGAAGGAAAACAAAAGATTAATTCGCTACTGAAGAAATTGTCTATTCAAGAAATGATCGGTAGACACGTTTCTGGTTGTTCTGCTCAAGGAAAAAAAACAGATTCTTCGAATAGTGAAGAGGAAATACTCAATGAGTTAGGAATCAATGATCCGTTTGATGCGACTAAAATGTTGAAAGATAAGGTACTCGAAGTATTAAAAGATCAAGAATATAGTAGACGTCATGAGCCCGATGGCGAAGGCGATGAGAGTGAAACTGGTTAAGTATAATGTTAACATCGATGTTTTGTATTAATGAAACAATGTGAGAATTAAGTAAACAGAAAACGATAGATTTCCCAGTGGATGTTTAATGATAATTAAAATTTACTAATGTTTATCAAATAATCATAAAATCAGTAATTTTCAAAATACATTTTTACTGTAACGTAATTCACGTTAAATCTAAGAAAAACAACATGCATAGTTATAACAATACTCTGGATAATCTTAAATCTACAAATAATCAAACACTTTCATTAAATAATAAAACATTTGGAACGTAAGGCGAAGCTCTCATATCATACATGTATTCCACTTCGAATCTTTTGATTGTCTGTTTTCTTCATGCTTCCCATAGAGGTACTCCTTTTAGCATGAGTTGTTTCGAGCTACAAAAATAAACGTAAATATACATAATTGATGATATAAACTGGATTAAATATGTCACATAATTGTTTACTTACATGAGCATCTATAGCTCTAAATTGCCAAGACCAATTAGCTCGATATAAGAAGGGTCTCAAATCGAAACGATTATCATCAGGACTGTAACTTTCTGCATGATAAGATGGTGTCAAAACCGTCATCTTATGTCTGTTGATGGCATAGCATCTGAAGAAGTGCTTTACTTTTTCTGCCACTTCTTTGGGTGTGTAGTTGGAAGACCAAGTCTGTACCAACTTACAGTACATAGAGTAGGGTCCGCAATATTGTTGCTTACGTAACTTTCCGAAAACACTCAGTTCGGCGTAGGTCATACCCATATCGTTTTCATCGGTTTGCGCAATTTGACCCTCGACCAATGGTTCTAATTCAGCTGTCGCTGGCGCAGCTACGATCTCTTCAATGACACTAATTTTGAACTGAAAACATCTATATTATCATCCGAAGTTCCTTTAAGTATGACCAACCTTATCCTTTGCATAGAGAAGGAACATCTTTAAATCTAATTTTGAAATCGAACCAATTGGATTTATATCGGCGCTGGAGCAGTCGTACTTTGTCATATAGCCTCTTAAAGCTTCGTCGACATTACTGCTACCCAAAACTAGTAAACCACCCGGACGTCCTCTTGCCCACAAGATTAACTGTGCAAACATATAGGCAAACACCATCCTCAGACGGGCTTGTAAATTCTGCAAAGCCAAATTCTGTCTAGCACATCCGCGTCTAGAAGCGAACTTTGGGAATAGACCAGTGACCGAGCTAAACACTTCCAAAACTGCACTCATAGCCTTATCGATAGAAATGAGCATATGATAACTGAAAATATATAAATATATTTGTGTTGAATCGCAATTTTTCTTCGGATTTTTTTTTGTAGAAATGGAACATAATAAAAATCCCAAAAAGACAATAACGCATTTTACCTTCCAATTTGAGCAGCCAACGTGGCAGCTCTGTTCCTAGTTTCCTTCGACGAATTTTCGCTACCCATGTAACAAGTCACCAAGATACGATTGCATAATTCCGTAGCTGAATTTGGCTTATACTCATGATCACCCAAAATTTTCCTAATATCACTGAGAACTTTTGCATCTGAAAAACCGCATCGCACATATTTACTTACACAGCTCTACAACGAATCCCTAATAATTAATTACCTCCTATTTCAATAGATTGCACGATCATTCTGCACATTGAAAATACTATCAAAGCTGTTGCTGAGGAATCTGCACCACCGCTAAGACATAAGAAGAAACCGCCTTGTCCAGATCTTCGTAGATAATCCCAGAGCCAACATGCTGGGCCTTGCGCGATCTCCTCTTCGGCTTTCAAGTAATTCCATTCAATTGGTATAGCAATCGGCAAGACGGCATCATCATCAGATGATAATGAGAAGTCAACATTGATTCGAGGGTAAGACGGCGATTCCGAACTCATATGTGATCTAGAACGCATTTCATTTCGGTAACTGCGTATATCTTCCAAGTCAATTGTAGCTGAAGTTACTTCCTAATATAAAAAAAAAATCAAATTTAAATATTATCAAGCAACAGGATTAATAGAATATTCAAATTTACCACATCTTGTAAGGCGAATTGCTTACTATGGCTAAGGATGTGCCCGTTCAATGCTACGCAGGAACCTCCGTTAAAATATATTCTTTGCCCGTCGCATCCTCTTAAATTGCTAAACAAATAGCATCCTCCGGATTTATACGTTGCGCTCTTAACCAAATCGCAAACCACGTATGCTTTGCGTAGTTCTGTATAACTTCCTGAACTATTGACAAAAATTTCGACACCATCTAAACCCATATCAACGTGACTACTCTTTGGATTCCATAATTCCTCACAAATTTCGAATCCTACAATACATTTGCAACATTAATCAATGTTTAATTTCAATATATAAACAATTATTACCAATGCAAGTATCTCTAGTGGCTATTACAGCATCACCAAATGGTACTTTGGTTTGGCCAGTTATAGCTGTCACCATCCTAGGAAGATAATGATCCTCAACTTGCCTTATCTTGAATACAATATTATATAAATTGAAAATTGTAAACTCAATTATTAGTAATTTACCTTTTTCCATGGAGAAAACCACCTGGATTCCCTATAAGCACCATTATCACACATCATTAATTTGGGTCTGATTAGTAAAATTTGCTGATTGAAGAAGACCACTCGGCAATTGTATGCTACATTCTTGTGCATGACAGGCATTCCCACATCTATGAGCATGTTTCTGCATAGCGGAGCACTCAATATTTCACAGAAGACTTCCCAACTATGTAAAAAAGTGTCACTCTCATAGTAGTGATCTTCACAACTGTATCCACTAGAATTGAACAACAAATGAAACACATAATTCAGTGCTTTTCTCAATATATTACCAAATTTCCAATTCAGGACCACTGCGGAAAGAAGCACCTGCATCTTTTGCTTCAAGTATACTCTCCAATATTCTCTCTCGGTTCCCTTCAAAATCCAGAGCCCATTGATTGAGAGTGGACACAGCCAGGCAAACTTTTCTTCCCATATTTATGTTTCTTTTATAGGTTATTATGAGAACTGAGTAAACCTGTATTACAGAATGAATTAACTTAACCCAAATAATTGTACACTTTGTATTTTTAATTGAGTTTACCCAAATTGCAAACTTATTGAACAAACACTAGATAAGAATTCCAGCAGTCATGGTTACATCATACCACTGCACTAATCCATAGAAGTACTGTGATATTGACTTTATTAGAAGAAAGTATTATATAAATTTAACACTACGTTAAATATTTTGCTGTTTTTGTCTCTAACCTTCGTTAAATGCTATATTTACTATATATTTAACCATTGTAGATTAAGCATTGACGTAAACACTTTAACGTTACTACTCGAATTCCTTAGAATGCAAAAAATCATAATTAGTAAAACTAAATGAATAATTTCATTTTGAACTTAATAAAAATAAATTAATTCATGAACTCTTACCTTAAAAGCGCAAACGAATCAAACATCACTTTACACTGATATAAGAACACAACTAATATATATTTTGTTCAGTTGCTATTAATATATTTACGCATTTTGGGATTCCCCTCTTTATATGAGAAACTAATTAATGTAGTGTTGCCAAATTGTAGTATATTAATTAAATCATTTCAATTTTAAATACAATAATAAACGTACATTCAATATATACATAAGACTTGATGAACATTCAAGTTACATTCGCACCTCGTGCAATTACGAAGCTTCCAGAAGTAAATTAAACTTTAAACGACTTCTTGTTTCCTATTATACAGCAAATGATATTTCACTTTCTTAATAGCTTTACGTAGCATAATCATATTCACGTGTCGGCCATAAATTACAAAGTTTTGTTACATAAAGTCTGCACCTAAGTTAATATTAAAAAGAAAAAGTTAATTTCTAGATTTGATTGCGGAAATTTCCATTTTGCAATTCAACTTTTTTTTTCCATGGACGAGGACTAATGAAGGAAAACTCTTGGTGCCAGGTGCTTTAGTTATCGCATGCTTATTTGTCCACACAATGAAATTCTTATTCGTTTCGTCAGCTATAGTAATTGAACTGCCAATCATAATTTAAGGAAACTCGAATAAAAAATAATAATAACAGTATCTAAGCTCTTACAGCACTGAAAAATCAATACTGTAGGTTGTATGGATTGACTTAATATTTCTTGGAAATTTTATACACTCACTGTCTATAATGAAATTAAGCTTTTGCAATTAGATATAATTAGTAATATATGAAAATAATAAAAAAAAAGTTTCAATAATTTCAATTGTAAAATAAAAATAGAATCTATTTAAATAATAATCTTATTACTGATATTTACTTATAGCTAGTTTGCAGGGCTATATAATAAAGTTCCAAATATGTATTCGTCTGGTTTATTATTAGATATATTTGAATTGTCCTTAGCCACGGCACGTATGAATATGAAGATGAGACCATCAATATTTATAACACGATTTACAATCGAAACACGAACCAGAAATATTTCAATATTCTAATACCTATCGCTAAGCAATTCAATTCATAGACAAGTTCCGTTCATTTCCGGCGAAATGTGGATTATCACACGATTTCCTGCTATTCCGAAAATACTAGGATATCATTGTAGAGGTGTTGATGGCGCTTAGAATATATAATTTTATTTTATTTATTATTTGAGATTGTCGAGGTATTGCTGTACGATCGTAAGATTGCCGAAAGTTTTCGCTTTCGTTTATGAATCGATTTATTAGAGATCTCCATGGCGATGTGACTGGCGACGTTTGAATCTCCTATAGCAATCAGCAGTTGGAAATTATGCCCCGTTCTACGAACAATCGTTCGCCTTAGCAAGGATTGATAAGAAAGGCATTAAAGGGTCGAAATGGGTGGCAGGTGATGATCAAAATTTGCGCGGTGTATCAATTATGGATTCTGAGAACGGAGAAAAAGGTAAAAACCAAAGCCCGCATATGTGATTTTGAGATGAAGCGTTTATTATTTTTTTTTTTGCTTACTTCATTGTCATCATCCTATATAACCTATTATAAACGAATTCGTTCCTTTGAATAGCTTAAACTCTTAAATGATACTTATTCTGGTTTTCAGCGAGGGCCGTTGATGTTAGGCATTCAGCTTCTTTAATACCTTTGCATGCGTGTTCTGAGAACCTGCTCCTGCCTCCGGCTCGCGAAGCGAACGTGAAGAATCTCCAGTCCGTTCTGTTTCCCATAAGTCCACGAAAGTCTTACTCGGCGGAAAGTTATTTAAGCAACAGTTTTCTTAAGTTTAATAACCACCAGCCCAAGCAGGATGACACTCTTGTCGATCCGAAGGCGAGTTTCCTCAAGAGCCGCGATTCCAAGGAACTCTTCATCAAAGACCTTCAGCAAATAGATCACGTCGGGCAGCCGTCCAGATGGCCCACAGAGTGCCAAGTTTTGGATAAACGAATAAAGCATATCACTTACAGACCATGTCCACCCGAACCATACTACACAACAACAGAAAACGAAGCTCAGCCAAAACCTGTCGGCGAAGAGTCTGGCTACATAGTCTATCAGTATTATCCGATAAACGCAGTCAATTATGTAGGTGTCCTTCCTCTTCGAAATTCAATTATTCACAAAAAAAAACATTCATTGTTGTTGTTTTTTTCCATAGTTTTGTAGGTCTAGCATAGGAGGAAGCCAATATTTGTTGCCTACATGTCCTGCCCCCGAAGAGGACAGTTTACAGTTCGAATCGCGCTTCGAGTCAGGAAACTTAGCCAAAGTCATTAAAATAACTGCCAATTATTACGAACTTTATTTGAGATCCGATCTTTACACAAACAGACATATGCAATGGTTCTATTTCCGTACGACCAACATGAAGAAGAACGTTTTGTACAGGTAATTTTTTACACACGGCCGTCGAGCCTGTACACACATACATATATGAGAGTGCGTGTGTGTGTAGGAGAAATGAATAATTATTATTTTATTTTAGATTCTCAATCGTAAATCTCTCGAAAGAAGACAGCCTTTACGCGGAAGGAATGCGTCCTTTGCTTTATTCCGAGAAAGACGCCCAGCTCCATTCGATCGGTTGGAGGCGTTGTGGCGACAATATAACTTATTTCTGTAATGATAACGGGTACACAGTATAAACGTAAACTGTAAAATCAATATTATTGCTTTACATTTTTAGCACGCCCGAAGATCCCGATCAACAGTCAACATACACTCTAACATTTACTCTAGAATTTCCTCATGAAGGCGACACTGTCTATTTTGCTCACAGTTATCCATACACTTACTCAGATTTGCAAGATTATTTGCTTAGCATCGCCGCCCATCCAGTTAAATCGACGTTTACGACTCTGCGTCTGCTCTGCAAAACCCTGGCCGGGAATAACGTATATTATGTTACTATAACAACGCCTCCGGGAAATGAGAATCCCAAGAACAAAGTGGGCACAAATTAATTTTACTCGCATACATACATACATATATTTTTACGCGATTTTCCTTCCTATTAAATTAACGAATTTATTTATTTTTTCTATTTTTACAGAAGAAAAAGGCGATTGTTATAACGGCTCGAGTACATCCCGGAGAAACGCCGTCCTCGTGGATGATGCACGGTTTCTTAGATTTCCTAACAAGCGATTCTGGGCCAGCCAAAGAGTTACGTGATAACTTCATTTTTAAGCTCGTCCCGATGCTCAATCCCGATGGTGTAATCGTTGGCAATAATCGATGCTCCTTAACAGGGAAGGATTTAAATAGACAATACCGTACTGTGATCAGAGAAACGTATCCTTCCATTTGGTATACAAAGTTAATGATTAGACGGTAAAATGGATTCATTCAGAAATGGAAACTTATACAAAGAATGCGATTTTTAGTTTAATTGAGGAATGCGGCGTAGCCATGTATTGCGATCTGCACGCGCATTCGAGAAAACACAACATTTTCATGTTTGGATGCGAATGCAGAAAAGGTGTCGATAGAAAACTCCATGAACAAGTCTTTCCTTTAATGTTACATAAAAATGCCGCTGATAAAGTACACATTCGCACACGTGATTCTTATTAATGTATATTTATCATCACTACATTTGCAGTTCTGCTTCGAGAATTGCAAGTTTAAAATACAAAAGTGCAAGGAGGGTACTGGAAGAGTCGTAATGTGGATGATGGGCATCTCTAACAGTTTCACAATGGAAGCATCATTTGGTGGAACAACGATTGGTGGCAGAGCCGAAACTCATTTCAATACTTTAGATTACGAACAAATGGGCCGATCGTTTTGCCAAACTCTTTTAGATTTTTATGATTCGGATCCTCGAAAGGTATTATAATCAATAGAAATCATATAAAAACAACAACCAGGAATGAGTCGTAATATAATATTTTCGTACAGGAAAAATTACGTATAAAAATTATAAATCGTTTAGTGAAGGGAGGATCCAATGCCGACGAACCAGCGAATATTCAACTTTCCGATTACTCCAGGTTTTTATATACAAAAATATTGATACCAAAAAAATGTAGACAAGTAAATTCAATTAAACTTTTACATTTTCAATAATGTTTCTTACGAACATTGATAGCAATGTTTTCTCTTGTATCTACATTACAATGAAATATTTCAGCGATGGTGGGGATACAAGTGCTTCGGATTCAGAATTCGAGTTCCCAGCAATAAAAGTGCCAAAAAATAATTTGATTGCTCCACCGCCTTCACCGATAAAACTTAAAAAACTTTCTCCCTTGAAGGTGAAATCAGTAAAAGTGAAAAGTCCTAGAAAAACCATGCAGGTTGTAAACGCACCGAAGTACGACATTATCGTTTTTTTCTCAAAGTTAACATAATTGCAGGTCGTGAAAGCTAATTTAAATTTTCCAAAAAAGTTAATATCATCAGATACAAGCAGCGCATCAGAAACTGAGCCAGAAATTACTAAAGAAACAATTAAACCTTTGAAAAAGAAGAAAAAGAAAAAGAAGAAAAAGTGTACGAAAAAGTGTTTGAATATGGAATATTCGGATGTAGAAATCGGAAAAGATTACTCGATGATCGATATGACCCATCATGGACAATTGTTGCAAACGGTGTTTCAGTGCAGAAGGAATTTTCAGCTTAGGTTTACTTATTAACATCGATTTCTAACAGTCATTAAAGGAGAGTCTAATTTTCAGGTACGAAAATAAACGGTTGTCGAGCCAGCAAAGATTAAGTGAAGTCCAGTCGAAGTTATTTGCTCTGAAGAATAAACTGTGGCTGGGATTAGGCGATGTGAATACACACAAACCAATCTCCTGGGTTTTGCCAAATTCCAAGTAAAAAATATTCACAATTATCTCAGTCTTTATCTGTGTCATACCGAGATTTTTAGGATTAACGTTGAGAGTAAAGCGAATAGAAAGAAATCTGCGGAAAAGAGGAAACCATTAAAAAAATCAAAAACCAAAGAGGAATCAAAGGAAAAGAATAAAAAACAGAAGGAAGGGTAATGCGATTCCTATAGTATCGGTTCTCAAGCTCATTCAATCTTTGTCGAGAACAGGATAAATAGTTTGAGACCAAGAAGTAAATATAATATAAAGTGATTTATTCCGTTTTTTTTTTGTTGTTGAATAGATTAAAAAGACAACCAGCTATTGATTTTACTCCGTTACTTAAAACCACAAAGGTACGAAGATCCAAGAGTTTATCGGAATCGTGTAAAGATGTGAATATACTGAGCACGAACTTCGTCGAGAGACGAGAAGAAGTTGACGGCAATAAAAAGAAGAATAAGAAAAATAAATGTAAAACTGCCAATTGAAGAAGACTGATTATTGGTAACGGAACGGCTCTTGTTTGTGTCACAATTATTTTTGTTGTTTTCGTCCCTCACATACCATAAAGAAAACAAAAATAAACAAAAAACCTATATTTATTCCTTTCCTGATTATATTATTGCCATGGTAATTGATTAGAGTTTATTTCGCTTTTGTTTATTAAGCCAGTTATTTGTGTTCGTTGCTTAAGTTTGTATGTATTCCGATCCGATTGAAAATTGCTTGCTAATAAAATTGAAATGAATGAATGAATCCTTTTTTTTTTTGGTCGTCGTCCATGCAAGAGAAAATGATATGGCGGAATGACTTCATAAATGGGACCATTTGGTGATCGGGGGTTTCGGAATGCCGCGCGCAAATAAATTATCTCCGGTTTATGGTCAGTCTGTGGGCCCGTACGACATTCACATTTGCCTTTTTCTCATCTAATTCTTTATAAATTCTTATGCTCCACAAAGCTCACGCAGTTGAATATAACAGATGAAACCCACAGAGTTGCGAAGGTGTCGAAAAGAAGTGGTATTCACTACTTTCATTCACGCGAAATCTATTAAAAAAAAACATCAATTGGGACCACATTTCAAGAATGAAAGAAAGTGGAATAGTCAATCTTGGGAACATGATGAATTAAGTTTAATAATGGAAGCCTTTTGTTCATATCCTTAACGATATAACGTCCTAAGAATGAAGAAAAAAATGTTATCTCGTCCATTTGGACGTGGAATGCGCGACGGAATGTCTGAGATACAACCGTTGAGTGGTCCGCGGATATATAGCTTGTATCTTTACGAATAATACAAAAGGTTATGGATATTGTGTAAGAGCGTGGGCGGTCGGTTAAAAATACATCTAAATTACTGGGATCGTGTGGGTGTTTAAGAAAACCTAAATTCTCGAAACACTCGCATTTACACGCACACAGACAGACTGGAGGTGTTTCATTCAATACATTACCGCCGCAACTTCTATTCACGAACATTAAATGTAAAGAAGAAACTGTAATTGCCTCGATTACCGTTTCCACGAAAAAAATAATCAAACTTCTACACCTCGTCCAACAAAGTAACTTCTGCTAGCTGTTTCTCACGTAGATCTTTGTAGAAAAGCTTCAATGTTTTGCACCATGGAGTATTTAATTTATTACTTTTCATTAGATATACTTTGTTTCAAACTCATCCATTAAGTTGTGTGTGCAAATTATACAAATTTAAAAAGTGCGTATTTATTCCCAAAAGTTAAGCAACATGATTGGATAAGACAAGAGATGATTTGATTAATAATACAGTTTCTTATAGTAAAGTATAATTAATTATACAACAGATAATTTAAAAAAAAATATACAAATATAAAATATATGTTATTAATCAATGCACGACAATATGTTGTCAATGCATTATTGCCATGTAATATACTTAAAGGCAATTTGCGATCGTCTGGTTGCATAATAATCTATTGTATAAACCAACTCCCCATGAATGAGTGCCATATAGTTTTATATCTTAGTCTTGAAGCAAATGTTAGTTCAACAAAGCCAAAAGTTTAATATAAAAAAATCGAGTAATTGTAGGATCTCAATTATTTTTTTCATAATATATCCATTTTCACCGCTAAAGCGAATATTTTAAAGTTTTTCCTTTCGATCGAATCGATTAAAGGCGCTCCAAGGACATCCAAGTTGTGTTTACGCTAGCACAATTATCAATGACTGGTTGTATCCATTCTCAATCGCTTTACTGATACACCAAGAGCTACAACCCTTTTCGAAGGTCATTTGTAGTATTCGAAAATTTCATGAACTCAGCCAATTACGTTGCGCTATAATAACATACCCGCACTGTTTACTTGATGATTTACATACAATGGAGCTGATGTTGTTTTATTCTTTGGGTTATCACACAGGATGCTGAAGGAGCTCGAATAGAAGCAATCGTCTACAACCACATGCTGACAACCCATAATCTACCTAATTTTTGTTTTATGGTTCTGGGTTTTACCAGAAATTAATAGGCTAAACGGCTACCGATACGTAAACATTATATTAATAAAGCGAATCTTAAGCGAGCGAACGGCATGAGAGGAGGAGGAGAAGATGGAATGGAAAAAATAAAAATAATGAACGAGAAAAGAACAACGTGGAAACGAGATTGTTTTCTGAATGGCCCCATACATAGTAGCCTGGTTGGTATGAGTGTAGTGTCCTTGAAGAGACGAAAACTGTGAAAGAGTAAAAAATTGCGGACACATACGAGCGTGAGTGTAAGAACGAGAAAGATGAAGAGATTGAGAGTGTGAGCGAGAGAGGGTCGTGGAGTGGAAGAAGGAGGAGGAGATGGAGAAGAAAACAACTCTTTGCATGAATGAAATTACAAACACGCCATCATGAATATTAACAAAATATACAACGCGCACAACACACACACACATTCACATAGAAGAAGAGAGTATTATATTATCAAAGATGCTTGGACTTCCGGCGGGGGTCCGATGTCTGGATTATTCACTTCCTGTCTATTCAGTTACGAACTCCCTCGCTTCTTGCACTTCCTCCCTTTTTACGTTGCTCACTCAGCACCATCCGACTCGGCCACCAACACAAAGGATGAGAGGGGGTGTGGGAGAGGATGCCCGGCTGCGTGACAAAGACGGAAACGTCCTTAATCTCATCGAATATTGATAAAAGCACGTTCGACACACCAAGGCAACTTCGTCCAGGAAGATGGATGGACAACAACAACAACAACAATAGGCGAACATTCAATATTTACGCAACGGATTCGAATTTGAATCGACATTAATTCCAGACAAAACTTCACACCAACTCTCGAAAAATAAGCATACACAACCGACATAATGCGATCAATTATATTAACTTTATTGATACAGACTCATATTATCTATTTCCAATTTAAATTCTTAAGAATTGTTATGAATATTGTGTCAAATTTAGTTTAACTATTTCTGTCCATTTTATATAAGAAATTGTACTTATTATAGAATTATTAAGTTAATATTTAAGATATTCATGAATATTTATTTAAAACAACATTAATATTAATATTAATAATAATGAAATTCCTAAATAATTGATGTTATAATTAATTTAAACTAAAAATAATCACATTGAGATTTATATTTGTTACAGTCGATTTATTTCCACCTTGTAGATTCTAAATATAGGTACGGGAGGAGGAAAAGCAGCAGCAGTAGAAGAACAAGACGTAGAAAAAAGAAAGAAAAATCGTTATATAATTGGTGAATTAGAAATTTCGTTTGGAATCTAAATGGTGCGGTCGTGCCAGTTTCCTCTCTCGACCACTCGCTCGATTGGTACAGAAACTAATTGGTATAAGAGAACCGGAAATGGTGCAAAAAAAAAAGAAGAAAGAGAAGAAGAAAAAGAAGAAAGAGAGGAGGGAAAATAAAATGAGACCGTTCGTATAGAATAACTAAAGATCTCCTCACGCAGTAAAAACGGGGCGCGCCGCGTGTGCTGATCGTCGGGCGGGGGACGACGTCGGGGGACCCATCGTCACTTCCGGTGGAGGGGGCCAGGCCGTGGGAACACTTGGGCCACTACACATCATTAATAGCACCATAGCACAAGATGCCAATCAAGATTGATCACTGTTTGTGCTCACCCCTTTCCTCCCTATTTACAAAAAAAATAAAAAAACAACAACAACAACAACAAACAAATGAATAAACGAAGCAAATGAAAACGACGATACAAAGGTTGAGAGAGAGAGAGAGAGAGAGAAAAACTGCAAAGTTCAATGCGCTAAATGGATAATGAAAGCCATTGTTGACGAAATAAGGAAATGTGAGCGGGAATGAATAAGGAGAGATAGTTGCAGTGGACGAGAGAGAGAGAGACGGGAACTGACATTTCTAGCGTAGTTGTAAATATTTTAGTGGCAAATGTAGCGCATATCCGGTCTCATATTTCGTAAAGATGTAATAAATAGTATCAACAATTTTGCGTTTTCTTTTTTTCGCTTACATGCAACGTGCAATAGTCGTAGACGTAATGAAAATGAATGCACGCATTTGTCTGAAACGTATGGCGGGCGTATAGGAAGGAGGTGGTGTATGAGAATGTACAAGAATAAGTAAATAAATAAAATAAAATCGTGTGGTTCTGTTCATCCTGTACGATAGACTTAGATAATTTACGATCGTTCCCCCTTGCTTTCTCTATGTCTACCTGATATAGATGGTCGCATCTACCATCTGGCAAACTCCTTCGGTGACTCCTTCACACCATCCTACAATGCATTTGTATACCTGGATAAATATCTAGACACGTTGTAAATGAGATACGTTTAGCCCACGCGCCCCAACCACTTGCAATCTCCATCCAGCCAGCACACACAAGCACGCAACGCGTTTCACTCAATCGTTAATTCAATTAAAAACCAAATATATACATACTCTCAAGGCGAGTGGTGCTTTTAGCTCACCATCAGACATCAGTCAGTGTTTGGACTATCCTGTTGTGGATTTCAGGTAATGAAAGGATGGAATTCTCGAGGATTTATGCGTTTCAAACTTCCGAAAAAACGGCCGCTGCTACGGGTGAGGAGGCAACAGCTGCCAGCTCCTCGGGGCTCCTACGCTCTTCCTTTTTCTAGGAAACGATCGCCTGCCGCGGACCAGAAGGTAAAGGGGGACAAACAACAAACCGCATCCCCTTTGATTTACCTATAAACAATTCGATACACAATCGTGCGAACAATGCGGGTCCCTCAAGTAGGGGGGTGTTGTGTCAGAAAAACTTCTATCACACCTTTTTCATTTCTCTCGCAAATGCACAATATTGTGTTGCATTTAAAATGTTACATTCTATAAACTAATTATTAAGAATATATAACTTAACTTACGAGTTCCAACGAATTCAATATTGATACATTGTTCTTTGACACAAAGTTCTACTTACTATTGTTACTCTTTGTATTTGTCGATTCGCTAACTGGTCGACGCTACAGAATGTTTCTTTCACATCACTTTTATATCAAAATATTTCGAAGAAAAAATAACTTTTCATCCTTCTCGGAAGCATACAACCTCGTTTCCAGTTAATTCCAACTTCACTTAATCTTTCAATTAATCAGAGCCTCCAGTACCTCGAGACATTTTCTATTTTATTAAACAAAGCGTTTAATTATTTTAGAACAAGATAATTGCTTATTATATTTTATAATTGGAAACAAAGTTTCAGAGAATAGAAATGTACATCTATAATTGACATATTATCATTATTATACATTAAATAATTTGTTCCAAGAAAAAAACATGTATAAATGAAATGCATAAATAAATCGAAAGTCAAGTTATTTGTGATGTTCGGCTGACATCAAGAAGATAAATAGGTATAAATTTATTATTCTCTTTCGCCTTTCTGAATAATGCTATAATAACCTATTATATTGCGTCTCAATGGAAAGATCTAGGTGTAGTTTTTCTATTGATGATTTTTGCCGTTGTGAACAGCTGAATGTTACAAGTAAATGGTAACGTGCAAGTAAATTTTAAGTTGAAGCGTTGGTAAATCAGAATTGTCTTTGCATTGGAGTGAAAATGGAAAGCTATTAAATATAGTTTTCGTGTAGTGGGCCATCTATTTCTGTACGCGAAAACATCGTAGCGATGTTTATTTGGTGTGTGTGTGTGTGTGCGCTGAGTTGAGCTTTATTTTGAATGGAATAGTTCGCGCGCGGGATATGAATGCGCTCTCATAACTCGATCTATATATTTATACGTCGAATATAGATCTTGTATGTAGTAGGAAGCAATTTCTAGACGCAGTGTGGTCGCGACTGTCCTGAAATAACTCTTTGACTGTGTGGTGCGGTGGTGGCGGAGAGGAAACAGAGGCGGATGGATTGTCGCGGCTGGGGGGCTGGTTTGTTTAGCGAGGGGTAAGAGGAGCGGTATCATATCTCGTTCTTTCTGCTCCTCCACGCTTGGAGAGGTCGTTTCTTGGAATAAACAGCCATCCACCACCACCACCACCCACCTATGTTCCGTTCGACCTTTCATTCAAACCGAACAGAATCAATGAGCGAGCCTCGTCGTCGTCGTCCTTTTCTCTCTGTCTCTCTCACACACACGCATACACACCATTTCCATCTCCCTTCATCCACCATCTCCATCAATCTCGCTCTCCGTTCCCCCATTTTGTACATGCATAAACCTTAGGTAGCGGCACTATTATACTAAACTCATTATTTAACACTTGGAGCGTTACAAATCCTGAAAATTTTTCGAAAATAATAAACGGGCTCCGCGCTATGTACGTGGTGGATATGTGGAAGAGTGAATGTATAAATATATAATTTAGAATTTGTTGAGCCGTCTCTTGTGTAGACTGCGTTATACGAACGAGGGCCGCCTAGTCATATGACCGGAAACGCTACTTATATACAGGCAGGATGATTTCCATCTGGTTACATCCTCATCAAAACTCCAAAGGAATTTTTAACCGACGAAAAAAAATATGCTATAGGTCGATAACACGGGGACGGGACGGACGAGACCGCCCAATAGGAATCCGAAAAATATCTAAAATTTTCTAAAAACCGCAAAGAAATTTCCCTGGCTCTAATATATATCGACTTTACTCGACGGTGATTAATTAGTGGCTATTAAACTAATTACCTCGTGCATTAATGCTGTTTGTGCACGGCCGCAAACCTAATCCATTAAATAATTTCCAAACCAGGGTAATTAATTTCTCAATATTAAGTTTGAACTGTTTTATTTTCATGGACATCGACGATATATAATATTTCAATTGTGTTTCATATTCGTTTCATTAAATAGGTTGTTTGTATAATATAATATGGTAGATAAGGACAGATAGTTCTGTTTATGAATGAATCAAATATAATCGATACGAATATAATGGAGTATTGTTGGACAGGAAGTGTGCGTGTGTGTATATTTAGTAAACATCCGTCACCGAAAATAGATTGAGCACTCCAGAACCAACACTACATAATTATTAATACCATTCTGAACATTTACAACCCTCGTCTGCACTTCTCTATTGAATACACCATTCAATTGTTATTGCAATTATAAACAAATCAATTTTGAGACAAAAAGAAATAGTACTTTATTGAAACATAGACGATAAAAAAGCAAACAGATTAAACACTTCAAATTACATTTGCAATATTTGGCACAACATATAATAATGTGAAATAAATATTCAAAGCATACAGGTTTGTGGAATGCATCGAATAATAAATGTGTAGCGAAATGAATAATAAATGCATTTAAATTGTATGACAAACGAATTGATCGGAAAAATTATACTTTAATTGCGTTGAATTATTCGAAAGTTTCAATAAATTTTAGGAATCTCTTTAAGAGCAGCGTTAATAAGACCGTGTTACTGCAACAAAGTCAAAGGAAGGAAACGAATCAAACAGAAAATCTTTAAACAACAAGAAAAATATAGGAGACTTTCTTTCTCACTCTTTTATTCCAAGTTTAAATTTCTAACTATGCATCGTTTCCATTATAGACTTTTTTTTTTTGGACTCAAGAATAATTACTAGTTAAAATAATCGCTTGCGGAAGCAGTAATGAAGTCATAAAAAGGGTGCAATTAACATTCGCTACAAAGCAATCTTGGATGCTGTTTAAAATTTCCTACTGTTCGCGACATGCACAGTGGTAATAAACCTGCACAAATGCGATACTCTCTTTCTCTATGCTCGTAACTCGGACTATCGATATGAAAACCTTAATTTACGATTGGGCTACGTTTTGTTAGGTCTGAAAGTATTTATAATTATAAGTTGTTTAAGTATGGTTATTAAATTCACTGCGGCGTGTCATTTCCTTCCACACTTAAGAAGATAAAAAAAAAGCTTTAATCAAACGAAATTACAAAAAGGAAAAGGATTTGTTTTCTATTGAAGGTTGCATTTGTTGACTATATCATTATATTATAGTTGGAAAGATAAAAGTGTATGCGAGGAAAGTATAAATCTTATGGGACTTCCGGTTTCCTGCGGATAAAATGTGATGAATCACTTATTTTTAACTCCATCTCTCTACGGATTTGTATGTTCGACCTTGACCGAACTCTGGTTAGAAACAATTCATTTCATTTTATTAATTTCAGTAGTTCTGTTAGTTTCATTTACTTTAGCTTTCTTTATGTTGTGTAGTAGGCGGTAATCATTGAAAAATAAAATATGTAGTTTACATAGATGTTTGCGCAAGGCCTTTTCGTTGTGTGTGTGTGCGGATTTCGCAAACAAATCTTAGCACAACGGTGGCCATTCTATCCAGAGTGTAAGAAGCAATGCAGAGGTTGCGGGAAAGAAAAGGAGAGCGAAGCTGAAACAAGAAAACAAACATGAAGTGTTTGCTCTTTTGCACCGAATTAAAAATAAACTATTGCCAAAGGTTTCATTGTTTAAATACATTTTATACCGCAATGCGCAAACCAGTTACACATAAAACTGGTTTTATTATATTCAAATGCTGTCTTTCATTTCAATTACCGCTGGCTAACTAAATTGGATCCATTGGTTGGTATCATTCAATAAAAAAAAAAACAAAGTAATAAACTTTATTTATTTCCAACATAAACTCCAGCAAAATAAAATAGACTTACCTATCATAAAATCTCTAGCGAAACCGATTCTCTCTGCTTCTTCTTAGATGAACTGTTAAAAGGTTGTGCAGGAGGATTGTGTTGTGTGTTGGGTGATATTTGCAGTGAAGGGAAAGAAAACAACTTTAATAATTGTTGACGTTGGTCTTCGGTGTTATTTAACATTATATATGTATAGTAATATTACAATTTCATTTTATTTTTTATTTTTAATATTTACAAGTCATATATATATATATAGCTACATGCGCCGTTTTGGCACACTGTGAGTAATTTCCTCCTCCTCCTCCTCCTCGTATTGGCGGGCTGCAGGTTCGCCTTCCGCTCTGCAGCCGGCCCAAACAAAACCCTTTCTTTGATTATACAATTTACAAAAAAAAAATGTGTTACATTCGCTTTGTACATTTCATGTTGGCCGAATGTAATTTATAGGAAAAAAAAATAGATAGTCAAGAAAATAATGATGATAATGAGGGCTTTGCCAAAAAGAAAAACAAAATACAATATACGTACACTACGTAGTATTATTTTCGGATACATTGTATCTGCAAAGTAGGCGCGCGCAACTTTCTTCGCGAGAGTGTCTTCATTTCTTCCAACGAGAAAATATTAGTTACACAAAATTAAAAAAAAAAAAAAATTAAATTACGAAATAAATTAATAATAAAATTAAGTTGAAAGTTTCCCGTTCAAATAAGTTCGGTTTGTTTGTAATAATAATAATAATAATGTTTTGTAATTTGAATGGGAAACTTTCGTTGGAAAAATCGTGGGTTTTGTGGGACAGCCACGTGCTGTTTATCACAGTCTTTTGAATTTAAGGTAAGCAGTACGTGGGTGGCCAAAAAAAAAAGAAAATTGCGCTCCGTGTAAAAAATAATAATAATAATGTTGCTTTTTTTTATTCCATTTTATTTCTATTTCATCGTTTATTTTGTAATTTTTTGTTTTAAATATATAATATATTCTTAGTTTCGTTTTGCAATTAGTTTTGTTTTTTTTTTGTAAGTTGTGTGTACATCCTACATTAAATTCTTGTTACAAGTTACACGTGAAACATTCATAAACCACACACATCATACAATTTGGTACATTCAGAGGCCAGCGATAAGTCTAGGAATTTGCCCAAATCTGGGGAGTATTTTTTTTTATATTTTATTTATACATATATATTATTTACTTGGCTTTTCGCTGGATGAATGGACAATTTTGTCTCAACACACGCAGGACTAGATAATACTGGAGAGCCATCCCTTGCATGTCCCCTAAATCAAACACGCACTAGAAAAATATATATGAGGAGAGTTCACTTTTTTTTTTTGATGTTGTTGTTGTTGTTATTGTTGCTGTTGTTGTTGTTGAAGAGAGGACACAGGGCACTGGCGGACCCAAAAAGCACAGTTTTTAAACAGTCGTTTAAAAAAAATCTTTATACAGTTATACAACCCCATATTTACAAATGATAAAAGAAAAAAATAAATTAATATAATGTATATTTGCTTCTGCAATAGAATAGTTAGTCCTTTTTAGCACTTTTCGTTTAGAAGTCTGAACTTGCGTCGAGCAAACGTTTCTCGGGGGTGTTGAGGTGTGGCGTGTTCTTGGGTCGACACTTGCAGCCCTGCCTCGAGTGCCTAGCATAGCAGGCCTCCACCGCCCTCTTTCCGCACTGCAGAGGCCAATAGAGCCAAAGACAGGGCAGCAGACAGCTAAGGGCCGCCAAGCAGCCCCATCGAGCCGTCCTGCGATCAGGACCACAAGCACAAGGATTGTCCGCACAAGAAGTCCCACCGTCCGATTCGGAGCAATGATAGAACAATCCCTTGACACAGCACAGACACGAAGCGTAATCGATGATGGTGTTCGCCGAACATAGGCACTTCTCCTCGCACAGCCAGCATTCAGGTAAGGGCTTGGGCTGTTGGCACGAGGTGCACCGACAGTTGCCGCATTCGGAACAGATGATTGATTGGCGGGAATTGCATTCGGCCGGCGGCAGCGGTTTCGTGAACGATGCCGTCGCCGCCGGCTGCTTCGTGATCGGCTGCAGGACCGGCGGCGAGATGGGCAAGCGGGTAGGCCTTTGGGCCCGGGGCGGGGGCGGCGGACTCGCCGGCGGCACGAATGGCTGCACTCGGAACGGCGTCTCGACATATTCATTGGTTGTCCTTTCGCAATCCGGACGAGGTGCCGACAACGAAACTTGCGGTAAGCCGCTGTTACCTCCTCCTCCTCCTCCTCCACCACCACCTGACTGATGCTGCTGCAGTTGTTGCGGAACCTGTGCTGACGACGGATGCTGCTGCTGCTGCTGTTGCTGTTGGACCTGACGCAATGGTGCTAATGGTGCTGTCATGGGCGCCGGGACGCTCATGATAGGCGCCCGCGGTCGGTGCGCGCGCGGCAACGATGTACGGCCCCCATGGTAAGCCATGTGGGACGAGATTTCAGCGCCCTAACCAGGCTCCACCTTCATCCGTCATCGTCGCCACCTGAAACAATACCAAAAGCAAGGAACATTAGCAAAATCTAACAACATATTCTCACTACCACCTAAGTTCATCAAACTGACTTCACTCGTGCATTCCTTACGCATAAAGGAGTTTCGATTCGGTATCTTTTCATCCAACAAAAGTAAAGTCGTCCTTATTTAGCAGGGTAACAAAATCACCTATTCACCGGCGTTCATAAAAACGAAACTATTGTACTAAGGCGAGCCATTGTTATCGAGGAACAAAGTCAAAAACACTTTGATGCAAAAACGTCCTTCGCAGAATTTTTCCATACAAGGAAGACGAAGAAATAAGAAAAAAAAACTTTTGTTGCTGCTGCTATAACTTATTGATTTGGTATAGTATAAATGCTTCTTTTTTGTAACTTCGTAACTTCAAAACATCATTCTCGCCCCGTTTATTTTTCGATTACCATCCGTTCTCTCTATTTCCTTTTTTTTTCTCATTCTTCTATACGCGATCGCTTCTAAATGAGTAAATTATTGTATATTATATGGACAGAGGAAACCGTAAACTCGATTAACACACTCGGGAGAATTTTAGATTGACCGAAGGAGGCGACGGCGTTTGAGGCCGCAACCGGAAACGTGACAAATACTGTTATATAAAACGACAAAATTTCCAAGTAATGATGCGCACCAAACTATTTTATGTTTAGTAAAAACTTGCCAACAAGTCACGGACGCAACAACTTCCTTCTCATTCCTTCACCTCTTTCTCACTATATCTATATCTCTTCAAGTCGAATTCATGACTGAGTGGCAAAGGGTATTATTTCCTGGCATCGCGGTAGGCATGATTTTGTTGAATGGCGTTACTTACTTGTTGTACCCAATGTTTGTGGTTCGATGGTGTGCGGTGGTGTTTGGTAAGTAAGTAAGTATCGATGTAAAGAATTTTCAATAGAAAAACTCCTCCCGCTGTTAGGTCGCAAGCACTTGAAACGTTTCACTCGTCGCACTCTTCTCACCCGCGTTCGACACAGTTGGAGAAGAGAGCGCTTCCTTCTTGTGCGACTGAATGAATGAAATTGAATGGTGGTGGGAGGGAGGAGATATCAGCCTAGACCCGGCCTAGAGACAGCCTATCCGACATGCTGGTGATGACCAAAATACATTTCGAGTGTTTCACATCCGGAATTATATATTAGATCATAGTAGATAGTAATAATATCGCAATCAGAAATTTCCAAGGGATAAGATAAAGAAAACAACACGAAACGTGCCAACTATAATAAAGCCATTCATAAAATTTCATTCATCAAAGATAACGAGATAAATAATACAACATTTAAATCGATTGTACTAATTGTTATTATCTATAAACATGTGGTACAACACATCATTTTCACGATCATTAATTTAAGGTAATCATTACGAAATCATTAACGCATTTTCACTTCATAAATTCAAAACATAAATAATTAGCGAAACAGGTAGTTCGTTATGTTGGTTGCATACAAATTCTGGCAATATTGTGGTTTTTGTGAAGGGTACAAAAATAAATAAAATATTTCCAAAGCAGATGTTAAGTTGGTGAGTAGACTCTGCGATGATATTTATGGCTTGCAAACGATATAATATTCTTACTGAAGCCACATTTCAGAATGATTCTGTAGATCTGCACATTACGAATGTTATCATTATCCAAAAATACTTTCCACATTCAGCAGAAATTATACAATATATTACATAACGTTATTTATTCGGCCGTTTTAAGTTTGAACTTGATTGTTATTTTGCTATTTGTTTATACATTTTTTTTTGTTTCATGGAAATAAAAATTTAAAGCTTTCACCTTGTAACTTTCTTAAATTTACGTTTATTGCATGCTTAATTCGATGCATAACTTCAACCTTGGACGACACAATAGATGCATAATTTCATATCGTTCAAAAAATATGTTCTGTTACAATTAGGTAACTGATAAACATATTTAAAAAAAAAACACCTTTTTCACGCTCACAATTATTAACAGTTCTTTCTTGTAGTCAAATTGAATAAATACGATGCTTGCCAACTAAATGAATAATTCAACAGAAAACTTCTCTACGTTTAATTATATATGTATTTTATTCCATGTTTTGTCGAAACAAACAATATAAATAAATACATTTTCAAATTGGCTAAAAACACAAAATACACAATCCCAACTGAACGTTTCGTAATGTGCCGTTGCTTTTTCGTTATATACCGTCGTAAATTAAACTATTCCGGAATCAATTACTTTACCGATTTAGAAAACGAACCAACCTTCGAACAAACAAATTAATTATTAACGAATTCAGACGTCCAGGATGTTATTCTTGATGATTTTCGCTATACTCATTTTAATTATTCATTAGTAGATCGTTCAGTAATTAATACTTTTTTCATAAAAAACATTTTTTATATAACAATAAGCAAGAATAAGAAGCAATATAAAATTCAGTTGCATATGAATATACAACGAAATATTTAAAACAGTTTAAAAAAAATACATAAATAATTTGCCTCATCAGGAAAAACTTGCTTTTATTATTATACTCTGAATTGATTACATCATCTAATTATAATTGTAGCGAATCGTCAGTAATTCAGTTTTAGAAAAAAAAAAGAATCTCACGAATAAATACATAGTCAGCACGTTTCTTATGGACGTCTTTCTCACAAGTTTTCAATTTCATTTCTAATATTATTATAAAAGCAACGCTCTTGTAACACGAAATTTTATATATGTAAACATGCATACACTCAACAATTAGTGAGTAATATTAATTTATATTAAATAACAATTTTGATTTGTACCCAAAGTACAACTTTTTGATTTATTGCTATACTTATACAAAATGTTTTATAATAGTTAATGATTCACTCGATTAAGGCTAAGAATGTCGCCCATTTCAATCTCGCTTGGTTTTTTTGTTGTTGCTGTTGGAAAGGTCGATTTCGGGTAATTAATGGATTGTATAGGAGGGTGTTCCTCTCGGAGCCAGGGTATTCTGTGTTCGAGTAAAGGTTTTTACCTTTTAATAGTGTCGGTTATCCAGAGAAAATAGAAAAAAGGAGATGAAGCTGACAAGAGGATAGAGAGAGGACGAGTCGTGTGCGTGTGCAGGTAGTTTTTGCAGAACTCTTTGAATGGGATGGAGGAAGGAAAAAGTGCCTTTTGGGCGCAATTTAGACTCGGTGTGTGTGTGCAAGTGGAAAGGAGGAGGCAGAAGAGGAGGAGGGACAACGAAGGAGCGCATATAGATGAATATAATAATAATGAACGGGAGAAGGACGAAGAGGAAGAGATAAGGAGCGAGATGGAGAGCGAAGGCCCGTGGGCGCTTGATGTATTATACCCACTGAATCCACAACCCCGCACTTTTTACAAACACTCATAAATATGCAATAATACGAGAGAGCTGGTCTTTTAAGAGTTTAGGCAGTATGTGTGTGTGTGTTGTATACATGTATATTCGTGTGTGTGTGTAAGTATGTATGTATGCAGTGGGCAGCTTTGAAAGGCAACCCACGCCAGGAAACCGGGATGGTGGGCGCGGCGGTACACCTGGTACGATGCGGTGAAAAAAATGCGAACAAGAAAATAAAAGAGTTTACCACCGTTTGAGATGGATTGCGAGTTGATCGAGGGGTTGGAAGGGCGCACATAGGGTTCGGTTTTTGAGATTGCAGTGGAGGAGTTTGGTTGCGCCTACGTACGCGTATTTAAATAAGAAAGTTGCTAAGCTCGGAGAGCGCGCGCGCGCGTCTCACTTAAACTGTGCAGCCTAGAGCTCTCCTCTCCTATAACCAGAGTGTTGTGTTGTGCATGCACATATCTGAACGATATGCAGAGAGGACAGACGGAGGAAATGTCCTTTCGGGATTTGAATGGATGGATATTATGGGTATTTGTTGGTTGTATAAGAAAACTCACTTTTTGATGCGGCTACTCTGTTTCGGCGACAAAGTCCTTTGCGACACACTCACTGAACTGCACGCAACCATCTTTTTCCTCGCTCTCTCTCCCTCTCAAACTAATACCGCTCCTGGGCCGAAGCTGGGAAGACGGCAGCAGCGGCGGCGGCGGCGACGACGGAGGCAGCGACGGTGATGCGCTTCATTCATTCATGCAACGATATAATCCAAGTCTCTCGATGAACAAGAACAATCCCCCGGTGAACGGTGAAGAGGAAACGGCAGCAGCTTCGGTTCGAGTGTGCGACTCCTCTACGTGCGTATATATGTATAACTCTACTCCTTTAAATTCCCTTCAACTTCGATGCCGTGTCTCGTCTGTGCGAGCGAGCTTCGACCTTCGGCACTTCACCGTGCGGCATGTCGTGTCGTACTGAAGTCCGGACGGCCGCTCGGAGTGAGCGGCGGGCGCGGAGCGGTGAACGGACGGCCGCAGGTGGCGCGACCTGGTGGCCAACGTCGCAACCCGCCCGGCGGCTACGGTTTTTATGAATGAACCGGCAGCCATTATGAATGAATACGTAGTACATTCAGAGGCGCCCCCCCACCGCACCCGAAAACGATGCGCCCGTCTCACTCGCACTCGCACGCTCGCATCGCATTCAACGTTGCGAACTAACAATTCGCGAATGATTTTCATTGATATTTGCTGCCATACAAGTCGCACACACACATACGTACGCATGGTGAAAGTGCAAACAGGATGAGAGAAGACACACGGCTTGGCTGCTGCTTCAATTTGTTGTGCTGTTGATGCTCTCTACTTTTTTTTTATTTCGTTCGTTCCATTCCTCCTTTGTCTCGCATTCAAGATTCGTTACATCTTCGTTCGAAATTCCGGCGTGCAAGAGAAGAGCACAGGAAGAACGGACGAGAGCGAACATTTGTGGGCGAGAAAGACGACCGAAGAAATGATGAGACCAACAGCAGAAGAAAAAAAAACAAAGAAGGGAAAAAAGCGTGCACATATTTTACGCACTCACTAAACTGGATCGTGGGTGGCTACAGAAATAGCACCAGCATCTTTCAAAACAAATTTCCAAAACACGCTCCTCACTTTTTGAACGTTTACCCAAAACACACGCACACACGACGAAAAATGTCCCAATTTATTTATCAGCGAGAGGCCGGAAACAAGCGCACTTGCATATCGGTCCAACCCACTTCAAGTTTTAAGCTTTTTTTTATTTTTAATCTCGATCAATTTCCCAATCTCTCTTTACACACACACACACATATATTTTTCATTTTCGATCAATCAATTTCGTTTAATCTAAAAGTTAAGCAACAGCAACAAGTTTTAATGGAATTACATTTAATTTGGGTCTAATATAGAAAATATTGTTATGACTAAATTATTTAAGATCTACTACGTGGAATGGTAATAGCGTAACATATAGTTGTTTTGATAATTTAAAAAAATCAATCCAACTTTAGCATAAATTGTGGCTAAGTTTCTATAATATAATGTTAAATATTGATAAGCAATTTAATTAATCTTCATTTTACTGTAATTCAATCACTTTTTTTTTTCATCTTTATAACTGTCAAAGCTATAGTGTCTTATTATGAATTAAATAGGATTGAATCAAGCAATCATTGTGTCATTTAATATTGTCTAAGCAATTTTTTTATTTTCTAATTGATGTAAATTCAAGTGAACTTGACTTTGATCAGTGACTTGTAAAATATGTTATCGCATTAAATTAATGGCAAAAATTTGAATAAAAAGAAATAATGAAAGCACACTCATTGATTGAATCAATTGGGTTGAGAAATAACAAAACAAAAAAAAAACATATTCAAACAATTATGAGTGGAATGTGATTAATTAATGAAATTAAGCAGAATAAAAATTGTTTCGTAATAAAATTCAACTAAAACATACTTTAAATGATGTAGATGTAATTATTGTAGAGTATCTGATCACGTAAATTAATTAATTAGATATAATAAGAATAAACGATTATTATTTTCTTTTTCTGTGCTTCTTCGCATCTCCGGGTAACTAACTGGTTTTTATGTGATATTCCAAAATTATACTTCGAGACATTTGATTAGATTTTAAATGTCCATTTAAATAGCATATAACATGAATTTATAATTGCAGTACCCTCGTTAAGAGAAATCGACGTTTCAAAGATCGGATAGTTAAATTACTATTCTTTTATGTGTCTGGATTTGATAGTATTCAGTTTTCAGATACACACTCGATTAATTTATTATTCCACATTCCACAAAAATTAACATACACGGTTCATACCGATTCTCTTTAATGAAGCCACGTTTCTTGAACTTTTTTTTTTTAACAATTCATTTCATTGGCCTCGTAAATATTTCAGATATTGCAACTGCATGGATTTAAACATGAAATTGCAATGTTTATAAGTAGTTACAATTTACTAAAGAAAAATTGTTAGAAACAGTTAGAATGATAAATTGAATATTTATTGCTTTGAATTTGATAAGTGTATACATATTATATCTTACATATGCTTTAGGTCCTATTTACATGTTACAGCACATCCTCGCTATCGACATCTCTTTAGGAATGGACACATACTGCTTTCTCAGGGCTGTTGTCTGCAATATTTATATTATTTAAAATTAAGACAAAATTTATGATTGTCGTGTTGATTAATTTAAAATTTCAATTAGTAGACTGTAGTTTTTTAATAATATATAAAGATCTTAAGTTGATTTTATGTAGTGGAAGTTGAAGAGATGTGTAAAATGTAATAATTGTAAATAAATTTAATACTAAATGATACATAATAATTAATAAATTATTTATTTTTAATATTGATTATGTTTGTTAGCTTACCAATCGTTTAGAAACAACAAAGTTGGAGATAGCCAGGAAACAAATAACGGATCAGAATCGAAGCTCTCAACTATATTGATGTATTTTGAACGGTGTTTCTACGTAAGCAATGCACGGAAATATAGTTGACAAACAAAGTAAAAATGAATACGGGAAAAAATTCCACAAATCAATTAAACACGAAAACGCACGCAGCGACGTCGAGACGCTGTACGAACGAACGTATCCGGCTTTACAGAAAACGCTATTGTCTCATTGACACACGGATTATGACATTAGATACGCGTAAGTGTCTTTATGGTTTCCTGACTCCGAGCGATAAGGTGATTCGATATCGTCCGATAAACTAATTGCGTTTGACGCATTCATTGACATATGTATGCCAACAAAAAGACGGATTTTGAATAATAAATGATTGATGATCATTGGGAAAGTCTGTAAATGGGTTTGTTACACAAGATCACGTGTTAAATATTAAAGTTTACCTTGAGCTGTTTACCGTGTCTTTGTACGGGCATAATCCGCATCCGATTAGATTTGATAAAACCAGATTAGTCTTCGATGTAATTGCTACTATTATTTGTGTGCGCCTTTGGCTTTGTATACAGATTCTGCATGCGAACGAGGTCTAATGAATTTGAGTTTAAAATTCTAATAAACATGTTACTTTGTAGATGAAGTTCAGGATAATAATAGTGTCATAAACTCTCTTTGTGTTCAACTACTGAACATGTTTATTAAAAAAAAATAAAATAGTTATCGTTTAGCTGATAGATGGACTACGTCAATCGTGGTTTGGGGATTTTTTTAGAAGACGGATGAAAGCTGTATAAATCACATCCGTTAATTAAATATCTATAAATATATTCTAAAATTAGTCAATTATCATGACTTTTTCTTCAAATTAATATTACATATATTTACTATTTTAAGCTCATTCTAAATGTATTATCTTATAGTGTGCATTGGTTATTTTGTATATTATTATTTTGTACCATAGAGACAATCAACAAGAATTACAAAAGTTTATAGAAATGTATATCGAAATTTACTTTATTTGTTTGTTTAAAATTTACCCATTTTTCAATGTAACAAATATTTCTTTCTTTCTTCGTCCATTTAATAATATTTAAATGATTCGTTAAATTCAAATAAAAGTTAACCAAACTTGATTTAAATTACGTTAAAAGTAAAGTTTCAATAGTATTATGTGAATCACATTTTGTAGAGTGTAGGAGATAAGTGATTTTGTGGTATGTGAATGCCAGTGGAGCCTTTGTAGTAAACTCCTGATGGAAAGTGATCTTAGTGGTCGCCGTCAACCCAGAATTGATAGGAGGTTTCTAAATATTTATGAGATAAATGAGTCTAAGAAGAAATCCGTGTAATTGTTTGGTTATGAATGAAACGGTCGGCGTCGGTCGTGTGTGTCCGTCGTCGAACTAATGATAATTAGCAATATATATCTGACGGGGTCAAAGAGGACACAACAAGCGATGCATTTATTCTAAATATGCCCGAGCCGGTCGCGCGATAAAGCACGTTAGTTTAATGCATTTTATAAATATTTTCAAAACCGGCATTACCACTCGACTGACATATTTTACACGCAACAGGGCACCACCACACAACCTCTGCAAGAACAAGAGGAGAAGCCATCAGCCTTCCGCCGACCCACCGCCACCCCCTTAGGACGACACTGACCGCATCGCATAAAATGTTATGCAACTACCATCAACAACAACAGCAGCAAGCCTTTATTTTCACTTCTTAGTATACAACTGCGAAAAAGTCACTCGAGTGCGTTTCACTGGGTATATACACATAGCAAGAAGAATCAAGGCCGATCCAATTTTCAAGGAAACGCCATGGAATCACAGTGAATCATTACCGGGAGCAAAGCCTCTTCTCTATCTCCACTCGTTTCCTACCCACACTCTCCACCCGTTAGGTATTCGTCTTCTTAATATGATGATTATCTTCGAAATGTTGACATACTCCATCCATAACTACGGGATAATGCAGCATTATGGAAACTAAAAAGGATGACGTATGACTTCTTTCAGATATCATTAAAATCTATTCAAGGCTTTTAAGTCTGTGACAATGTACCAATAATTCAGGTTCGCTCGTAGATCATAGGATAAATGGACACACATTTTTAAATACCAGCACAAATAGTATAGTCTAGATATTATTTATTTTTTTTTTGATCGATAACATTCAATATCTTGGACACCGACTAAAACATGACTATTATATTTCAAGTGTGTAAGCGTCCGTCCATTCAATACATATTTTCTCTATAGTATTTATGATCTTTGTCCGTTCTATAGAAATACGTTCACCACGATTTTACAATTCGCAAACATATATTCAAATACATTTCAGTGAATCATTTAGTGAAAATCGAGAACAATCATAATCAGAAAAAAAATCTATAGTATTCTATAGTTTACGTACACTATGAAACAATTTAAAATTCGTTATATTCATAATTTTAACTGTCATTTTGTATTCCGTTATGTATCCTTTCTAGCGAGTGAAATAAAAATAATATTTGTTGTGGTGGACAGAGAAGATGAAGCATAACGTTTATGAAACACGCATCTTACAATAAAAAAAAAGTGTTCAACGAATAGGATTAGATGAAAAATAGTAGAAAAGTAGATTAAATGAAGATTGATGATGTGGGTGATGAAGTTATTTTTGTAAATCAAATTTATTTGATAAAAAAAAGATATTAGATTTTGGATATTAGTAGAAAGTTTTAATCATCATAATGTGTACTTATAAAATAACAATTTATTATTTAAATAAATGCAAGAGTTACAAATTAAAAATAACTGCTAAATCATTATTTTCTTCTGCAAAAGTACATCGATAATGTAAAATGAATTTTTTTTTTAAATTGCTAATTAAACAAATAAGTTGGAGGTGAACGGACTTGGAAGTTAAAAATGCGCACGTTTAGACAAATTTTTACTTATTGCTTTAAAGTTGACGCATTTTTTTTATTCGTATCTTGGCTGCTTCCTGTTCGAAACGAATTCCTACTTAATGAGCGGCGAGCATTTTAAAAACGGAATCTGAGAGATGTTTTCCCCAGAATTCTAGAACCTACGACAAATTGCGGACGCTGATGTGTGCTGCTGCTGCTGCATCGGTGTGTCTCTGTTGCTCTCGTCTCTTCATCTACGTGTAGAGGAATTACGGTTGTTACGGATGGAATCGTCACGCGTTCCAGCTACTTTTCGACAATCAACACCTGTTCGGGATTTATTGAATACCCCTTCTGCGGCCTTCCTCCGTTTCGTGTCTTCCTTCATATTCGTGGTCGGTTTTCGTTGTTTTGTTGATTCCACTCTACCATCCGCAGCGAAGATTTAATGCCCCGGTAGAACGAGGCAAATTGGTCCTCTTTTTTGTTTTTTTGTCAAAACTTCAGGAGATTTAAGGTAAAAAATCGATAATGCGGACGACGGCCAGTAAACACAACCATCCGTCCGTGAAAACTAAAAAGATTTAAAAATAAAATGAAACGAAGAAACGCCATAAAAAAAATACATAAGGAAGAAAGATTTAAGAAAGTAGGACAACATAAAGTTATGATCTTCTCTTTTGTAGAATTTGGTAAAAAAGTCCATTCATTTCCGTAATATAATAGCAGATGTGTTGCGTGCATGACGGCATTGCAGGGTGTACGGTTTGGTGCCCTTCACGTGCCCTACGTATTCGAGTCAATCCCTTTCCATACGAGAATTCATTCATAAAAGTCTCTAATTGAGGAGACCCGCTCGTAATTCCAATTTCCTGGAAGCGGGCGCGCCGAAAACCGGAAACGGCCCATTACGTGCACGACGTTTATTGCCTCCGAGAAAAGAAACCCGGACAGGAAGCAAGGGGAATATTATTTCTTCGGAGGGGGTGGGAGCCTCTTTAATCCGGAAGCCGCGCCATCTGTCCCCGATACCTTCTTCAATCTCCCTGTGCTTCCTTTGCACAAAATCGGCCACTTCTCCGTACACCCGGATGCGGTTCTCTCACAAATTATTGTCTAGACGACAACTTTCGACAGCTGTAAAAATATTTACACTCGACAAATTCCATTACGTCTTTCTAGAACGATGATCGAAACACAAAAAAAAAGAATCGATTGAGAAAAATTAAACAGAAATCGACGGCGGCGAAAACAAAATCGAAGCTAATGAAAGAAAGTGCCACGATTCGTACAGAAAAAAAAAAACAACAAATAATTACATTTCATGAAACGCGCAAGGTCAGATATCAACCAGAGTCTGGAATATATTACGAAGGTTACGTAAAAGTGAATGAAATTTATATAACGCGTATGAATATTGAAAGAGAGAAAATATTGGAGAAACAATATACGGGCATTAACGTCACATTTAACGTGTGCATAATAAAACATATCGCATTTCTCAACCTTTCCAGCCATAAGCGTATGCAGCTTGCACAAATGCATACATCTGTTAGATAATGGATCCGAGATTGCATTCATTTCTGGTAATAATAATAATATGTGATTGTTCGTAGCTGTTGCTGTTGTTGTTATTGTTTTGTTTTGTTTTTTTTTTTAATCGCAATGGCGTAGCCTTGAGTAGTCATTTATATAAATTAAAGTATTACTCGTTCAATAAAATTCCTGTTCTCCTCCATTCAAAGAATATGTTGCTCATTACATCAAGCGATTACCACGAATTCGTGCCAATTTACGACGCACAATTAGACGATCGCC